TAGATCGTTGAGAGAAGTTATTATTAAAGATTTTGAGAATTGATTTTTTGGCCGTTAAAAAAAAAGTGAGATCCACTTGTGAGAGAATAAATCAAATATGACGACTGAAATAGTGAAATAACGGTCAAAAATTTAATTTTTTGAGGAGAAAAATCACTCCCAAACAAACAACTAGAATGATATCCATTGATACACTTATTAAGACTTATGGTTCCATCTTAGAAGATTAATATTGTTAAGAGAAGTAACTCAACCTTTATATATTGATTTATATTTAGATAATTAACTCATGTGAGATTTATCCCTTAACATATCCCCACAAGATGAACACACTCGTCTTGAAATCTATGTGCTCATCTTCTAGTTTTAATCAGATTAAATTGCTCGTTGGAGCGTACTGAACTTTGATACCATATTAAGATTTAGAGTTTCATTTTAAAATGTCAACTTTATTAAAAGAAATAATCCAAGTCCTTATATATTGGTCTATATTTGAATAATTAGCCGATGTGAGGTTTATCCTTTGACAATACTAACCTGCAACTTTCCGGTCAGCAACACAGGCTTCAAAGAGTCGTACATTCCAAAGTATAAACCACGGTACACGATAATACCAACACAAGATATGTTGAATCCACGGTAAAGCCCAGCAATGCCATCAGATTTCAGGGTCTTTCTGTAGACATCGACCAAACCATCGAACTGCCTCCCACCTCCTCCCTTCTTTGCAGCCTTGGCATCATTTGCAAGCCGGGTACGAGCATAGTCCAAGGAGTAGACAAAGAATAGCGAGGAAGCACCAGCGGCACCACCGGATGCAAGGTTACCAGCAAACCATTTCCAGTAGCCATCACGGTCCTTCTTGAAGTTGAAAAGCCTCTTGAAGTAGTCCTTAAATGCAAAGTTCAAGGCCTATGGAACGTGAAACAGAAATTTGTATAAACTGCATAAAAGCAGATGAATGTATGTAAAATTCATGTACAATGGAAACAGTAGATTATGTGAACCTGAGTGGGGAAGTAACGAATGACATTAGCAGTGTTTCCTCTCCACAGTGATCCAAAACCTTCACCCTGCACTGTTCTCTTAAAACAATCACCAATTCCTTTGTATGGTTCAGAGAGCCTACCAGCCCTAATCATTTCGTCTTGATTTTGGATCAAAAGCTTCACACGTTCAATAGGGGCAGCAGCTGTTTTTGACACAGCAGCCGAAACTCCACCCATGAGAAAGTCAATGGCAAAGCCAACGAAACCTTTTTCTGAGGGAGCCTGGACAAATACTGGCGAAACATTTTCAGAAATCAATGACAGATCCTTGGTGGCTCTGCAAGTCATAGGATACTGCAGTCCAGCATTTGTATGATTGCCATATGCAAATTGCCTCTGATACGCAGATCTTTGAAAGCCTCCATGGTGAGATTGAACACTCTGGGTCTGGGAGAGACTAGAACGCAGATATAGCTGGTTGGCTACCTTCTGAACAATAGTTGGGTGCTGGTGTTGATCGTCCATTATAACCTAGAATAAAATTCCTGCAAACATAAATTGGTAATCAAGACGAAATAGAAGGAGTGAAATTGGAGTGGCTGCTGCAAGGCAATTAATTGCTTAATTACATATCAGTTGTTTCAAGTTACATATCTTCAACCAAAGATATTGAAAATTCCAGTAGACAAATCACAAGAAGACACCATACAATTCTTAAGACTAGAAAAAAAAAATGCATGATAAGTACTACACAACTTATTTTAGGTTCAATATTAACACTTAAATAAAAAAAAAAAAATTGAGTGTCATCTCCCCTTTCAAAAAATTGACTGATATACATTGTACTAACAATGCCAAAATGCATTAAAGAAAGTCTTTGACTCTTGTAATGGACATACATTAAAAAAAATAAAAATAAAAATAAAGAGAGAGAGAGAGAGAGAGTGAACCAGAACTGGTATTAACAGAAGAGACCATGTAGTGTCATCAAAGACAAAATGAACCAGCTCATCTAGTGAAACAAATCATTCCAAATATGAATCAATACATCTCGTTTTATTATAAAGAAACATCACTTCATAATTCCTATTTTCTAATAACTCTGTTCATGGTAAATTGCAAATTCCATAGGTTGTTATAGAGAACAAGCACCCATTACCCGCCTAATGAGACAGTAAGACAATATCAAAGACTGCCACTATTCTTACCTTGATAATTTTGTGCAGGTTCCAGTCAAAGGCTAATAAGATTCAATAATTATCATCCACACAATTATGATATTTCATCGACATTCATGCAAGCTTGTAAGCAACCATATTTTTGCCAGTTCTATAATTTTGGATGGTGATTAATGCATTGAATCTGCTGGACAAAGATCTGAAATTAAATTGTATAAATACAACAAAAGCAAACTTACTGATGGCAAAACATGTTACATAGACAAAAAAATGATAACACAAACGCACTCACGAGTATAGCATCTACAGCCACGGAGAAAAGGAACCAAACACACTTACTCAACCAGATTGGCTAAAATAACATAATTGTTCCGCCAGAATTATCATCACTCAAAATCCAAAAACAAAAAATAGTACAACCCAAGTTACATTCATGTAAGCAGATCTATGAACAATAAAAACATAAATAACTCATTAAGATCTAAAAAATAAAATGTGCAGAAAACATATAATAAGAAAAGCAAATGTGAAGAAGTACAGACCTATTTTTTTCTTGTCGAGAATAGAAATACTAAGCTTTATATCTTACCCACAGATCTAAACAGCGTGAACAAACACAAATACTACTACCTAGAAGCATAAATAAAGGAAAAAAAATGAAAAAGAAAAGACCGTATAACAACGAAAATTATGCAAAAGCCTTGAAAAAAATTCAATGGATAGATCAAAATGTCAATTAAGGCCGGAGATTTTACCTGCGTTCAACTCGCCTCGGAAGTCGCGAAGGGAAAAAGGCCGATGGACGAGAGTTGAACGCGGATTTTTGCATTGAACGCCAGAGAAGTTGGCGGCGTGGGGGGTGGGGGGGTTTCATAGCCGTTTCTGGTTTTATAAATTTTATGGGTTAAAATTTAAAAACACAAAACTCTGGGGGGTGCTCTCTCTTGGAAACTCTTCTTTTTTCCTTTTTCGTTTTTTAAAGATCTGACCCTCAACTATTATTTTTTTTATACTATTAGTTATTTTTTTCAATTCTGTAAATACGGACCAAGGAATTATTACATACATTAAAGATGAAAATTGAGTCCATATTTTGTCAGTAATATTTAAAATTCATTTTTTTCAAATATAATTTTAGCCACACATGAAATCAACCACGATCAACTTTCATCAATATATACTAAAATTTTGACATTTAACTAAACCAAATGATTGATTAGTAGAACCACATTCTAATATGTATAGGAATGTCAACAAATCGAGTCGAGCCAGTTCACGAACTGAAACTCGAGGCTCAAGCAAAATGGTGCAAGCTTTTTTAGGGAGTCGAGCCGAGCTTTTACTCACCCAAAATAGGTTCGACCCGACTCAAGCTGAGCCAAGTCGTGCTGGCTCTTTTTTTTTTTTTTTTTAAATAACTACTGCCTTTTTAAAGGCTGTAGAAATTCATTTTTTTCCCTTTTTAAGGTTCGTGAGCTCGAGTCAACGAGCCACACGGGCTAGCTTGAGCTCGGGGCCAACACCCCAAAATGGGACTTGACTCGAGCCTACTGAACCATGGATGGTCCGAATCAACCAGCTAAATTGACATCCTTAAATCAGTATAACAATTTATAATTTGAAAATAGTGAATAATGGTGCGAGAAAATGGAAACTTAGTCCTGTATCCTAAAAATTTGATTAAAATCTAAGTCAAAATCAATAATTTATTTAATTACACATTTCATAAGATTCACAAATTTTCAACTATATATTTAATCAATTTTAACAAAATCTACTTAAAATTTAAATTTAATTTTAATGAAACATGGGCGTAATAACAAAATAATGCTCGATGATCAAAATAAAGCACACCCTTTAGTGCCTAGGGTTTCAATACTATATTTTATAAGTGGGAGACAATAATATATTATATGGAACATGTAAAACATGATTTATTTTAGAAGAAAATTTATGTGTAATAATCTTGTTTTTGCCTTGTTGATAGGCTAAAGCATAGCAGCTCGAGAACGGGGTAGTCTTTAGAATGGCTGGAAAATTGATCCTATTTATCACAATGGCCTTTTCTGTTGAAAGTACTATTTTACCCCTACTATAGTTATTTGCAAGATGTATCTTATATTTTTAAGGATTTATAATTAGGACCTATATCTATATTTTTCAATCTTTCAAACACCTTTAAATATTCTTTGTATCTTGATAATTCTTCAAAGATCCTAGGCTAACCTTTCTTGGTTATATATCCTCGAACTAATTCTTCTGAAATTTCTTCTTGTATATCTCTATGTTTAGTTATAATATCATTTATCTTTCTTATCTCTCTACTAGTTCCTACAGAATCAAATCCTATATTATTTTTACAATTATAATCTATATCCCTATATATTTCTTCAATTTTTTCTTTGCCAATAGGAAATATATCTTCAGACTTTTCAGCTAATTTAAATAAAAACGAAACATTTTTTTCATCTAAAAATAATATGAGATTATTATCATTATTAGAAATAGATGTGGATGCTTGTGAATTGTTCATCAGAATAATTAGAGCATAAGCATGTAAAAACAAGTAAATAACTTACAGTAATCAAATAGAAGTAAACAGGCTTTCCCTCCAATACGCTATTATAGATGCTTTGCATATACTTAATCAATCTTCTGAATCAAGCAAAAATGTTTTTGAAATCATTTGGGTCCATAACTGCTTGCACAAAAAGCTTTTCAATTAAGGTTGCATTTCTCACTCTAGAGAACGAGTCGTGTTTCCACAGACGCTATCTCACAGTATCCAGAGTCTCTGTTTTCACCTATATCCAAACTCTTTTCAGAATCAAGTTCCTACATGGAACGAAATTTTAAAAGATAACTCACACACAAGGTGCTACAATTTTGTTAGAAGACTGTCTTTTTTCCCCTAAACCATTCTTCAAAGACGGGTACTTTGGCATGGCTAACATCCATTCAAAATCAATGTTTTGAAAA